TCTCTTTCCATGAGTCTGGAGTATTTCTCCATGTCATCACCTTTGTTGCCATCTTTGGTGTCAACTGCTTCTCTGTAGGGTCCCACATTCCTTTTGTGTTTTTCTCCCTTGATGGTCCTATGGTCCTCTGTTACTGGACTGTAAGATTAACTACTCCCCCCCTTTTTGTTACAAAACTTTTGCCTTTACAATTGTGACGATCGCAATTATCATGATAACAATTACTTACTATTGAATCATAAGAATCTTATCCCCATCTCCTTTCACCAAACCCATCTAGACAAGTGAACACTAATCAATGGGGTTCTACCTTTCCCTGCTTACTCTGAAAGTAAATTCCCTCTTGAAAACCTGTAAGCCAGCCACTTCATGCCTTTATTGCCCCGCCCCAACACATTTTAGGTAGTCAATGTCTAAGTTGACCATCTCTATCAACCCGGTGTAGAGATGGGATAGGACTGATCCTTGATGTAAAGATTCCTTCCCTCTCAGTTGGTATTTTGAGCTACTACATCTATAAGTATCAGTCCAATTCCTAAAATTTTAGCAATTTATAGTTGCTTCCTTTATCAAAAATTTTTATCTTCCTCTAGTCGAGTTCTGATCATCAAGCCATCGAAGCTAGGTCAGATGGGTATTATCTGCACTTTTGGGTGTTCTTGTGAGTCTCCTCTCACTTCATATCACCTGGATGTTTCACTCTCAGCTCTCAGCTCTGTGGCTATGTACTTGTCCATGGGTTCAGGAGTTCCTAGGTCTCACCATACTTAGAACCAACCAACTTTTCCTCTTCTCTCTCTAATCTCCAGGTTTTGCTTTCTGCCTATATGATGTCATCCCATAGTTACTCTGGTCTTCAGTGATTAGTATCTAACGCATCAAATTTCTCTGTGAGACGGTCTCTAAATCAATTGGGATATATATGTTCAAAGTCAACATTTTGGCTCTCATGGACTTGTCTTAATTTTCTTCAGCTTCAGCCTGAACTTTCTGAACTTGCACATGAGCAATTGATGATCTGTTCCACAGTTGGCCTTGGTCTTGTTTTGACTGATTATATGGAGTTTTTCCACCGTCTCTTTCCACAGATAAGTAAATCAGATTCCTTTTAATGCCATATGGTGAGGTCCATGTGTATTACTTCCTTTCATTTTATTTTTAAAAAGTATTTGCAAATGAGTAAGTCATTGGTCTTTCAAAACTCTATCATGTGGTCTCTAGTATCAATTCTATCACCAAGGTCATATTTTCCAACTACTGACCTTTGTTTCCAACCTTCACATTCCAATCACCATTTTTGTCAATACATCTTGACTGCATGTTTGATCGATTTCAGCCTGAAAAAGTTGGTAGAATTCTTTAATTTTATCATCACTGGGTTTAGTGGTTGATGCATACATTTGAATAATAACTGCATTAACTGATTTTCCTTGTAGGCATATGGATATTATCCTATCACAGAGAGCATGGTACTTCAAGTTAGATTTTGAAATGTTCTTCCTGACTATGAATTTTACACCATTTAAAATACTAGTGGCAGAACACTCATACTTCCAGATAATATCCACTTGACCTGGCTTCAATGACTGGATGATCAGAGCTCAGCTTGAAGAAGAAAGAAAGGAAAAAAAGGGTAATCTGAAACAATTTGGTGAACTTGACCTACATCTACGGATGCAGTAGCTCAAAAGAGGGAAAAAATCTTTACAGCAAGGATCATTCTCACCCCCTCCATACA